CGTGCCCTCGGTCCCCGAGCCGCTCTGCGTCCCCGGCGGTGCCTCCGCCGAGCTGTCACCTTGGGCAGGGGGTTTGCATCGCTCTCCGCTCACTTCGTGCCACGTTCTGAGTCTTTCATACTACAGCGATGCTTCCTTTGTTGCAGGGAAGTTCTCGTTTTCTTTCGTCTTTCCTGCGTGCTGACTTGTGTCAGGTTTAAAGCCTGGATAGTGTGTGGGTTTTATTTTAGAATGTGACGTTTTGTTTAAAAGGACAGGGATCTGTGCACCTGTCTCTTTCCTAATGATGTCACTGTTTGTATGAGCAATTTGTTTCAGCCTGTTGATAAGGACCCACATGTTCTGAGCAGTGGAGCAGGGAGAGAGAACTGGAGGAGCTCATGTCCCAGAGGAACCCAAAGCTCCGTGTCAGGAGGGGAAATCATCCTTACTGCAAACAGATAAAACTAACTTCACCGCCTTGACCAGCGATAGGACCCAAGGGAAAGGTGTGAAGCTGTGTCAGAGGAGGTTTAGGTTGGGTATTAGGAGAAGGTTCTTCACCCAGAGGTGGTTTGGGCACTGGAACAGCTCCCCGGGGCAGTGGGCACAGCACCAAGCCTGACAGGGTTCAAGAATCATTTGCACTGCATTCTCAGGCACATGGTGTGATGATTTATTTTTTTTAACCCCGTCCTGTGCAGAGCCAGGAGTTGGACTTGATGATCCCTGTGTGTCCCTTCCAGGAGATTCTATGATGCTATGACCTTTTCCTAAAATGACAATTTCCAAGCTGACCACAGGTTAGTATAGAGGAAAATGGTCTTGGTGTAAAGGCTTCAGTCATAAAGTCTTGCAGGGTGTTTAAAAAATGTTCTTTGTCTGGCTTGCATCTTTCATGCCTAATGCTCAGTGGATGTAAAAGGATTGTACTGGTTCAAGTTGTGGCACATTTCCTTTATTCTAATGAAGCAGAGTAATGAAAATGTTGGCTATTAGGGATTGATGGCTGGGCATTCCCTCTGACCTGACTGTCCTTATGGCTTGTTCAAATTGCTTCTAGTTGCTTAGTGTAGAACCTGGATTTTCCTACATGATCCAGAGCAGAGGAACAAGTCCTTTCCCTTCCCAAAGTGCAGCATTCCAGAACTCCCTAGATGACTTCACCATTCCTCCTATAGGTAATTGTAATGATTTTCCTGCCTATGGCTATGTAAAGTAGTTCACTCTTAGAACTTCACCTAGCAGCAGTGCTGTAGTAATGAGTCCTTCTTCAGGGGCTTAAAGTCAAATAAAACAATCTTAATTTTAAATATTTAAGTATGTCTTTCTGAAGTTCTTCCTCATGGTAGCAGATCTTGTGCAATATGTAAGATGTTGGATTCTCGCTGCCCATGTAGAAATGAGATAACAAAAACTATTCTGAAAAAAAAGCTGATGGAAAGCAGGTCTTTTGAGAACTAAGCACAGTCTGTTATATTTTTTTCTTTAAAGAAAAATGGTTTATATCTCTTTATAACACAAAAATTGTTTCCTAAAAGATTATAAGTAGCAATCATTATTTCTTAGTTACTTGGTGGTTGATTACTTAGGAATCATCTGCGATTTTTGAGGTGCAAATAACACTTTTAATTAGGCTGGCAAACATGAAATCTGTGTACATTTTTCTGAAGGACTTCGCTAGTTAAATAATGTTTTGACAGAGCTAAGTCCTTTTTTTCCCGTTGCTATATTTTGAAGCCAAACAAATTGTTGTCTTGATAAAACCATAAGGGAACACTAGCTGTCATCCTTCCTAACTGACACTTTTGTAGATCTTTATTGGTACAGGATTCTATGCATTATTATAAAACTTCTGGTTAAAAGCAATATAAATGTATCTTTCTAGTGCTTAGACCTTCTAAAATGAGCTTTTTTTCCCAAACTGTAAAGAAGGGAAGTGTGAGGATGCTCATTGAACCAAGGGCTTCCTGTAGCAAACAATGGAGTACTGAATTAGGAGGTAAATGCTTTCATGAGTGCTATTCAGTACCCAGCGGCTGCAGGGGGGAGAGATGGCATAGGCATAGCCCTGGTGGTAAAACCTGTCCCAGCTGCTGGTGAGAGTCAGCACACTCAGCAGAGTACTGTACTTGGAGCACATTCAAGGCATCCAGCTTCCATATGTGCCACTGAGAAGCAGGTTTTTTGAAGCATCCTGTGCTCAGCTGGTGAAAGGAACTGTTGGGTGAAAGAAAATATTTCTTTGCTTTACCTCTGTGTTCTTAGCTTCATCTCCTGTGGGAATTATTTAAGATTCTGCTTCTACAAGTCAGCCTAAAACCAAGGAGGAGGGGGAATAATAGTGTTTCTCTGCTTGGCTGCTGTCCTCAGGGTTCTGAAAGGCAGTGTGGAACAGCCTGGTCTCCTCAGTACTGCAGCTGTTTGAGAATGGCACAGAGCAGAGGTCTTGGCAAATCTGGGAAGGCAGCACTGCATTGGCTCATTCAGAGCTGTTCACAGCCACTAAGGTTGGGAACCTGGGCTTATGTTTCAGGAAGAAAATAAATCTGTTCTGATTTGAATGCTAAACAATATGCACCTCTTATTCCAGAGATACTGATGAGTTTCTGCTAAATTGCATAGCAAAATAAATCAGTGGGTTTAATGCCTTTCTGGAAAATCTAGATAGTTTTCAATATTTTTTAAAGGAGCCTATCTTCTGAGGAAATCAATACAGAAGGAGGGCTGATTAGTCTCCTAAATCTTACTCTTAAAGATAAGTTTTACAGTCATTTGAAAAATGTTGGCTATAAAAATTCCTCTCCAGCACTGCAATTATGAGCAAAGGCAACTAAGATCATTGAAAGTTTCAGGTGCTTATCTGTCTTTAGGCCAGAAGAACTACACCTCTGTGGACATGGGTCCAAGTCTCCATTGGGTGCTTTTCCTTTATGCAGTTTTGTAAGAATTGTTCATTAACTTGGTTTCAGATATTTCATACATCTTTAAGATTATAAAGGAAAGATGAAAATGAAATGGATTTTTCTTTCAGAGAGTTCTCAGTGAGGTTTTGTTATTTGTGCTGTGCAAGTACAGAACACTGATAACTCCAGTCTGGAAACCAGTGGCTGCTCAGTATTCTTGCACTTACAGCCTTTTCTTATCAAACTGACACTCTGTGTGGGGAATGAAGAGTTGGCTTTAATTTAAACCAATGCCTAAAGTGCCACTGATTTCAGTAGGAAGGAATTTTGTTCCTCTATCTCTACACTTCTTTTGCGAAGAACTTCATAAGCTGATAGTTTTGTCTCCATATGTTCCTTTTTTTGTGTGGGAGGGTCTTTAATGATTTTGGTATTTCGTCTTCAGTAAAGGAAGGGGAATAGAAGTTGCTTTAGCTTCAGCTCTCAATCCTTTTGCAGGGAAAAAGGGTATGAATAGTATACACAGTTGAAATCAGACACGGTAAAAACTCTACGTGTGTGGGGTTGATAATTTGAAATGCTTTTAGGGATAGGTCAGAAAATTCAAGAGGATAATTTAATCAAGTAAAATCTCCCTTCAGAAAGCTAAGCTATCAGTTTGTTTATGTGACTTAGTCATCCCTTCCTATGTAGCATGATTGTTCATTTGAGTCCAATTTACAGAACAGCGTGTACCTTTTTTTATAGCAGTCATTAAGATAATATGGATGTCAGAATTTAAGGGTGCTTAACTCTGATGGGTAACTGCTAAAGCAAGTGTATATCACATCCTCTTGTGTTGATCCACAGATCACCAGGGGACACACAGGATAATGTTATGGCCAGGCCACTCAGCATATGCCCAACAGTGCTGACCTGGGCAATATTAGTGTTCATCAGAGCTTCCAATTTCATCTTGCATTTGTGACATAAGCATCAAGGTCACTTGTGTTAGGAATTACACTGTTCATTTAAGCTGCCTTCTGCATCTTGTTGTGCAGTGACAGTGTGGTAGTGAATTGTGGATCTACAACATGCCACTCATTTTAAATTGTCTGTTGACAAATGCTGCCTTTCTATGGACCTTCCACAGTGTTATGTGTGGCTCTTGGTTTTGTGTACTCAGTTCCTTATTTTTTTTGTGAAGTATGATTCCAGATCCAGTGGTACCTATGATCTTATAGAAGAGCAAGCTATCTGCAGCAAGCCATTCCTCCTGAGGCAGTAACTCCCTGCTCCTCTGAAATAACTTGTCTAGTACTAAGTGGAAAATAACTGATGTTCAGTGTTATTCCTTTGCATGTCATAGCTCTTTCTGAGGAATTTTGCTTCACAGTTCCAACAGGAGCTGTAGCTTTGCTGGGATCAGCTTAATGAACTATCCCAGGTGATATGCCAAGCAGTGATTCCTGGCTCCTGCTGAGCTTGAGACCACTGAAATATTTTTCTCTAGTTGGAGCACTACACATGGAATAAACTCAAGACCACATGAAGGTACTCAAATGGAACAGTATGTCTGAATAGAATAGATAGAATAGTTAAAGCAACAACTACTTAAAGAGGGTATAAACTTGAATTCCAGCTAGCACGATTGTTCTGAATGCAGTTATCTGCTCAAAAAGTAGAGATAAGTAAAAATTGTTACGGCATATTTCCACTTACTTCTGTTCTTTAGGACTTGTGCTGAGAAACTGTTGGTGTACGATGCTCCTCTGTGGAGGAATCGTGGTATAGAGCAGTCATTGTGCTGTCCACTGAAGTAGACAGTGTTTTGTTTCTGTGATGTGTGGATAGTTGGCTTTTCAAAACCGTCTGTGAGAGGGTTCTGGTGAGCATTTGTTAAGCACCTTGCAATATACTCAAAGCACAGCATGTGTCTCCCAGTTCTTCTCAGCAGAGAATGATAGGATATGATAGGAAGCAATTCCACAAAATTACTTTTTCCTAATGTTTTTTGTGCTATCATAGTGACTGTGACAGGAGAAGTTATTTGCCCTTTCATGAACCTGTTTGGATTGCATGCTGAGAACAAAAAAAAAAAAAAAGAAAAGATGATGAAACACAGAATGAAGAATTATGTACCATCAGGTCCTAGAAAGAGGTGAGTGCTGAAAAGCAATCTCCAAAGCCATCTGAACATCAGACTGTTAAAATTAGGTTCTGGAACATAATTTTCAGGAAAACACATTCCTTTGATAGATGCTTCCAGGTGTGTGAGCAGAGAGGGGAAGGTGGTGCAGTGTGATGTGTTGCTGATCAGCACAGCAAGGGGATTAGGACCTGCTGGAGCTAAAATGCAGGCACACTGCTAACAGTACTTGCATTTTAGAGATGTTCCCAGTGCCTTAAAAACGACAATACAAAACCCTAATAAGGCCTGTACTCTAAACCCCACATAATCTGAATACTCTAACAGGAGTAGTCTGTGAATAGGTCTGCCTGGACTGGGAGGGTCAGTGCCATCTTTAACATTTCCATTCCACTTTGTGACTGGAGATGTCTTTCAAGTGGATGCAAAAATGTGACAAAGCAGAGTGTTTGAATTGTGCTTGGGTTCTGTAATTGACCAGGCCTTAAGGCACAAGAAAAATCAATGGAAAGACATGGTTGTAATGAATTAATTTTGTGTTTACTCAGCCAGTCGACATTTAAACATATGGAACTATTTTCTGTGTAGGAAGAATCTCATGAAAGAGAGCTGTGTCAGCCTGGTTATTAGAGCCTGCTAGAGCAGAGATGAGAGAGCTGATTGGTTTTGTCCTTAGAGGAGCTTATGGTTTACATCTGCTTTTTAACAAATACCAACTATCACTGCTCCTGTGAGGTGCACATTTTGTTTTCTCTTTAGCACGTGAAAGTACAAAACTATTAGTTTGCCTTCAACCAAATCCTGTTGAATTCCTCGTTCCCCAATTAGTGCTAAAGAAATATCTGATTATAGAGTACAGATCTGGGAGGGAGTAACTTGTATTCACCTTTCAAATCTGGCATCTGGCTCAGCTGACTTTGGATCTTGGCAAGTTATTGTGGTAGTGCTTCAATTTCTTCCACTGTAAAATAGAGGTGGTAACTTTATGACAGAGACTTCTGTTAGCATTAGCAGCAAAGCTTTAATTTGGTTGGATTGGTTTTGTTTCCTATCACAGTTTTACTTTCTTAAACTGAGGGGGAAAAAAAATCACAGAATAAGAGGCATTTAACTTGTCTTTTCAGATGGTAGGTGCTTTTCTGAGGTACTTGAGTTTCAGGTGTTTGGAATAACCTTTTTGTCTTTGAAGTATTTACTTGCCAGCAGTATGTACAGTTACCATAGTATTAAATACTGTTCACTATGTGCAGATACAGATTTGTTTTCTGTTTATCCTGTGCTTTCCTCAAGGATTATGTATCAGTAAAGATGCTTTATAGGCAGTACAACCTGTGGGAAAGGCTCTCAGTGAGTTCAGCTCTGTGGCTTCAGGAACTCAGCTGATTTTCACCAATAGTGATATGTTTTGAAATCAACTTAGGGCTGATTTTAGGTGTCTAACACTGCAATTAACACAAGAGTGACTTAAATATATACATCTCAAAAGCAAGGATTCAATAGTATGTACTGCAAAACAAAGGTTTAAAATTGCCTGAAATAATAAAGAAAAGGAATCCTGTTAATGGCTGAGGCTTATTAAAAACATTTGCATCGGTTAGTTTCTAGCCAGCACTTACATGTGAGCAGCATTATGTAAACTCCTTTTGTACTTTTGCCAAGGCAAAGAAGATCAGTAGGTCAAACTTTTAAGCTTGACCTACTTTTTTTTTATAGGTGCTTCACAACAGCTCAGCTTTTCAGCACTTGTTTTCATGCTAGTCTGGAAACAAAGTAGAGAGAACTAACTTTTCTTGCCTGCTGCAGTGTGTAGGATTTCCATCTTACACAGGAGTTCTTCTCCTAGTTGTTGAATTGTCTTCCAGCAGTGGCTGAGACCTGTATATTTCAGAAAAAGGTAACTGGAGTGACTCATGGGTGAGAGGAATATTGACCTTCACAGTGGATAAATGCTGCTATCTATTTCAAAAACAAATGCAAAATGATGTTTGTAGTGTGGTGGAACAAATATGACATGGAGGTGTTTTATTCTTGTATAAAGTAATTTGTGGAAATCAGCAATTATTATAAATTTGTAGTTTATACAATTTTAAATTTAAAAATTGATTTCTTATTACCTAATGAGAAGTTATTGTAGTTCACAATGTGTAAAAATTGAGTAAGGAACAGAATCTTTATTTTATGGAGAGCTATATATAGGAAAAATGTTGTATGGTAATTTTGTGGCATCCCCTTACATGTGCTCTGGCTTCTTTGCTCAATTTCACTTTTCTTCCCCAAGCCTCTGACTGATGGAGATATACACAGATCTGAAAAACTGGAGATATGGCCAAGAAGAGGATCTGTGCAGGGTACGTGTCTGTTTTAAGGAGAGGGGAAACAAGCTAGAGCTTTTTAAGGGCTGAGCACTTACACTGGCCTGATTCTATAGGAATCTGTATGAAACCAACAGTCACAGGTTATATCCTTTCTCAGGGTGAAGCTTTTGGTTTCTTCCTATGATATCATATTCGATTTCCTGTTTGATTATCTTGTATGTATTTTTTTTTAAATTTTGTAAATAGAATTGATGACGAGTTTCGTCTCTCCTGACTCTGGTGGTTTGTCTGTGGGATGGGCTAATCCAGTATGGAATACTTGCTGCTAAGAGTTAGAGCTTCAAAATTCATAGGGAGTATGTAGAGTCTGGTTCCTGTCTTTGAGCAAAACATACTCAGTCTATTATGTCTGGGTCCTTGGGATGAACTAAAGTGCTCCCTTGAGAAGGCATCAAAAGCCTCCCAGGGATTCACTGCAGGATCCGAAGCCAACGTTTCCTATCCGTGCAACATAGTGTGATAAGCAACAGTTGGCTGCTTCCCAAGAACCTCATGGTAGCTGCAGTTGTGTGCCATAAATTACAAAGCACTTTGGGATTATTAAGGATGACAGTCCCTCAAGGTGTAGTGATTAATGCCCCACTTAGATGCTTAAATATTTGTCCAGTGGAAGAGAGTTCACCTTAGGCCTTGAACTTCCTTGGCCGTGAGCAATTCTTTTTGCCATTCTTTGGACACTGCATTAGTAGGGCTGAGCTGTCTCTGTGCTTGGGACATCCAAGAATTTATTAATCAAGTTACAGTGTTCACAGACAGTAAAGTCAAGTAGTTCACATTTGTAGTGCTCATCATTGAGCCAACTTCCCACTCTGTAGTGCTGCAGTTCTTACTCCTGGGTTTTCTGTTCTTTCACCCAGGTTGGTCTTGCCTTGTTTCCACTTCTCTAGCTGTGGCTACTTTCTGCTGTTGGCAGCAATATAATGTAGTTGTATTTTAAGGAATAGGTATGGAATCAGAATAGGTCAACTGATCATTCAGTGTGCCTCAACTGCTTTGCTGGGAATACTGTAGAAGGACTGCTTTGAACCTAGATTCTTTCTGCTCTTCTCAAATTGATGCATATGTACTAACGTGACTGGGATGCCTTAGTGAAACTGTTTGCTTTCTGCAGTCTTTTGCAGATTTTGCATGTTTCTGAAATGAGAGGGATCCTGAAATGAGAGAGATCTGAAATGAGAGGGATCAGAAACATGTTTGCATGTTTCTGAAATGAGAGGGATCCTGACTGCCATGATAAGCAGGGCAAATGTAAAAGTAAGGAGGAATGGGTTTATCTGTAACTTCATCAATACCAGCTTAATGCATCAAACATCCACAGCCTTTAGCTGCAATGTCTTTATACCAAAGCAAAGTGAAGAAAACTGATAAGGGATTGTCATGGACCTTGAGTTTTCTGAAGCATGACTTGTATAGAGGGTGCCTTGTTTGTCTTGAAAATTTGCTTTGTTGTTCAGTCTTCTCTATACAAAGCAGAAATATTCTAAATTGCAGCAGTAAGAGATATCTTTTCTTCAGCACAATGACCAGTTATATTTCCATGGTCAGTGGAAGTGTCAACTCCGGAACTGCACAGCGAGAGATTCTGATTTCCTTCCTTGTAGAGGAGAAAAGGCACTGCTGCTTCTGTGCCTGTTGATGTGAGGATTGTTGTAGGCGTTGTGTGCTGTGGGGAAAGTCACAAGGGTGAAGAGAGAATTTTTTTTTCCTTAGGTTGAATTAGGTTCTGAAACTAATGGTGCACCTAAATTCATACGTTAACAAAGTGTTCTCCATTGTAGAAACTCATGTGGGAAGAAGCATGTTTCACTTTGTTTTTTAAACCCACACTTAATTCAATTTTAAAACTATGCAACAAGATTGTTTAGGAAACCTGAAAAGATTGAAAAGCCAAGAATTTCTAATGTGGTCTCACAAATTCTTTCAGTGGAACATTATTGGGTCACTCAGAGAATTGGAGAAGCACCCTGAAGCTCAACACATGAAAAATGGTGAAATAAAGAGAGTAAAGGCCAGAAGCAGTAGTTGCTGTTTTACAAACAGAAGTCTGTTGAGTTATGCTTAATGTAATCTGAAGTAAATGCTCTCTGTAAGTCAGTGTTCAGTAAGATAAAGTTGGTGATAAGAACATAACATTTTTTCACTGTTTATATGGAATCTAAAATTAGAATTCTGTTTCAGAATGTCAGTATAACAACTGTATAAACATTTGTTAGCAGATAATGCTCTTTGGAGTACTATATAACATCTGATTGCTTTGTAACAGTAGTCCAACTTGCTCAGAAAGGACTGAACCTTCCTGTTTCAATAAAGTCGTATTTTATCTCAGTTAAGTGCAAATTTAACTACTCAGGAATGGTCTGTCTTCTCTTATTCTAGCAAAAAAAAAAAAAAAGAAGTCTCCAGACTCTAACAGTCTATTTTTGTAGATGCCAGTTTGTGATAAGGGAGAAAGTGTTATCACCACACAGACAGCACCTGTTAATTGCCTAAATAATTCAGGCTTAATTTATGCAGGTTTCTAAAACAAGGACTTGCCTTAGCAAAAGGGATAAGAAAATACAACTTCAGGATAAATCCTGAGTATGCTTCCTGCCTTCCTATTTTTCTTTGGTTTTAATGGTTTTGCTGTGATGGGAACAACAAGTAAATGTCTAAATTTGAGAATTGTTATTGCAGAAGGTTGGGGTTTGGTTTGGTTTATTTTGTTGGCCTGAAAAGTTAAAGCTACCTTTTATGTTGGGGAGAGTTAAAATGTTAATGGGCCAGGCAACTGTGTTCCAGCAGTCCTTGAGGACAGGTTGCATGTAGTTAACCTCTGTGTCTTTCAGCACATGAAGTGTTGCTTGTAGATAATAAAATCTTTGTTAGCCCTGTACCTAATCCCTTTTGAGAGTGCAGTTTAACCTGCATTGCTGGTTGTTACAAGCATGTCATACACAGATTTGGCAACAGTTAAGAAGTACCTTTAGGAATAAAAACTAAGGTTAGGTTTAATTCTGCTTGAAATATTATTCTAGTTGCAATGAAATAAGTCTTTGGGCAAATAGATGCCATTCTTCATTGACAAAGGTGCTTCATGGAATAATGAGACTAGTAGACAGAAGGTCTTTTATATCCCCAATGAGTAGAGTGGGGGAAACCTGTGTGTCCAAGGAAGGGCTTGCAAGACCAGAAATGTGCTTAATCCTTGCAGTTATTCTAGAAGTTCTAATAAAAAGTACTTCTACCTGCAAACTTCCCTTCTCATGTCCTCATTGCTATAAATACAGTCCTGCCATCAGTTGTGTGATTTAAAGAAACTGTCATCAAATTGTGAGTACATTTAATTTGCTCTTTGAATGTTTTGTTCTTTATTTAGCATAGTCTGTCTGGTGTACTTTCTGGCAATCTGGGCCTAAAATATGTTCCCAGTAGTGGACCAAGAGAAAGTTAGGCTCAGGTGTAAGTAAACATTCAAGCACATAAGGTGTATTTAGGTTGAGTGTTTGCAGAAGAGACACCTAAACTTTGAAAATATGTTTGTAACCATATAAATGTCAAAAGGCATTTTAACACTTCTCTTTTCACCTTCACCACTGGGTAATCCACAAGGTCATGGAAGAGCCAGATCAGTGGGTGTCCTTAGAGCATGTCTGGTGCAAGCTGAGATAGTGCAAAGCACAACAGTTACACCTGACAGAGGAAGATAATCCTTATTCCTCCTCAGTTTGATAAAATGCACTAGCAGTTTTGAGGGCAGGGCAGGACCTGAATTTTCCCCTGAATGCCTTTGTTACTGGGCCAGAAAATTGCTTTAGACTGTAACCAGGAAGGTTCATACTTACTTTCTCTCCATGAATAGAGAGAGAAAACAGGATACATTACTTGGTGTGGTTTGGGGGTTTTGGTGTATCTATTCTGATCTGCTTGGACATAATTATTAAGTTTGAAACTCAACTGACTTGGTGAAATGATGTTTTTGGATATGCAAGAGCTAAAAATAGAGATCTCTGAAGTCCATTTATTGCCAACCTGTGAACAGACCACTTTATAAGACACCCATGTAGAACGTGATCCACTATACTGTGAAGATCCAGAATTTGTGTTCTTCTGGTTGTGTTGTGTTCATACCACATGACAAACTCTGGTGCTGGCATTACTGACCCAGCCTGGTCACCTCATGTCCCTGAGTGCTGTCAGTCGTGGTCAGCCCCAAAGACCTGCACATCAGCCATACAGTTGTGATGACCAGACCATTTCTGAGAAGGTTGGAGTAGGGTTGTGTGGTATATTGGTTAGAGAGGTATCATTTTACAGCTCTGTCTGAAGCCAAATATAACCAACTCTGTTAAAATGAATGCGAGCTCATCAGATGTTAAATGGCAGAACAGCTGTAGGTGTCATAGCTTGTGGCTTTCAACTGAACATATGGCATAAAACTGGTGTAGCTGACTAGAAAAATCACTTTTAAATATTGACACTGCCTTTGATCTTTCCATTTTTAGGCAGTGAATTTTGTCAGCTTTGAGTAGCTCTGTTTTGGTTGGAGGAAAAATGGAAATAACAGGATTTTTGTTGTTGTTTTTTAAGCTAAATAAAACATTAGGTTTTCTTTTTTTGAAAAAGTTCTTTGTTTTGTCCAGGCCCTTGCCATGTCAGAAACGATAAAGATTCTAGTCACTAACAACACTGTCCTGTTGTGAAAATGCTTAAGAGTGTTAGAAAATAAACAACCAGAAGGATGCAGCTTATTAGAGATCCTGTTTACCAACATTTAATTAATGCTGTCTTCTGAAGTGGGAAAGAATACCTTCAGCATGGGCAGATTTCCTGGCTCTGATACATGAGAACACACAGAGCCTTTGTTGTATCAGGAGAGTTGTCCCTGCACTGTTGCGTGAGGAAAGCTCTTACAGAGTGTGCTAGTCCAGCTCAAAAAGTAATTAAAAATATTTAAAAGAAGGAAAAGAGGGGGTGCAAAAGGCAAACCAAAC